CAAAGCGTCAGCTTGCGTTGGTCGAGAGAGGACTCGGAATCGGAGGGAGGAGGGCTTCAATAGGGCCAGCTGGCCCGAATGAGAATGAGATAGAATGAGAATCCACATCACCTGGACCGCGAAAAATGACAAGTGTCAGCCAGCTTTAGCACAATTCCTGGGCATTGTATTCGAGAAAACTTGGATGCCATGCTGCATTGACATCTTCAGGAGTGTCACACCACATTCTCGTGACATCATGACATCGTTATTTCAAACTTAAACTATATAGATGATCCAGATGTGCACGTGTGCACAAGAATAGGGAGACCCGCCAAAATACCGTAGAAAATGGACCATGACCCTAAAGTCGGGACTGGATGGCACTTGTACCATCGTGTACGCATTTTTAGGAGCACTTTCCTGGTGCTTTCTCACACCTGCGACCTCCGTTCGCTGAGTTGGGTCAAGCCCCAACATCGTGCCTGACTTCGGCCTGGAGTGGCGTCCCGTGGCCTGACGAAGTAACCGTTCGGGTGGCAAAGAAGTGAGGATCAAACCGCCAAGGTGCTGGCGAACATTCCAACAAATGAACCACTGTCAACGCTTTCTATCTAGAACCTGAAAATAACGATTCGATATATATATATATATACATTTACAGTTCTACACAGTGCGTTATAGTGCATTCAATTGCATTCATCATCAGGTCTCTATGGCATCGCTCTTTGGAGTGTCCTTCTTCATCAATCACTTTCCAGGCAATGCTCTTTTTGTCAAAATGGCGTCGAATGTTTCTCACATAAGCTCTGCCGCACCCCGCTGCTTGATATCACACTTTTGCCACCTCTTCGCGATCTTCATGGCGGTCACATCGTGACTTCGAGATAAAGCTCTTCTGGATCACAAGGCAGGCCGTCGACGACGGCCGTCGCCACTCCACTTCGTCGACGAGTCTTCTGAAGTCCGTCTCCACACGTGGACCGCTGACCAGATCAGTGGAAAGAACACATGGGCCACTCGTGTGGCCCACACGAGTTGTCTGCAAGAT